ACACCCTTGACGTAGTTCCCTCTGAGGTTTGAAAAACCCGTGAGTTGAGCCATTCAAGATTATCGAGAAGGAGACAGTAGTGATACAAGAGCAGATCCATTTAATCCATTGATCACTGAATCCCAATACTTTCATTACATTAATTAGAAATTCCCATTCTACACTCATAGGCTTTCTCCATGTCAAGTTTTAGCGCCATCCATTTTTCTTTTCCATAGTCTTTCGTCTTAAGGAATTGCACTACTTCTTGACCAATCAAGATATTTTCTCAACAATAGATCTACCCTTTACAAAACCATTTTGATTAGGACCCACTATGAATGGTAATATATGGCTTAGTCTGTCCGCCATGATTTTTGCAATAATTTTGTAGAAAACTTGACATAGTCCTATAGGTCGCATTTGTCTCATGTATACGGCGTTTGGAACTTTGGGAATCAGGGTAATTAGAGTGTGATTGAAATTATGGAGGAGTCTTCCTGAGTGGAAGAAAGCTTTAATGGCCTCACATAAAAAAATTCCGGTGAAGCCATCTATACCCGGAGCCTGATAAGCTCCAATAGCGAAACTAACTCTCTTAATTTCCTCTCGAGAAACCAGGGTTGTTAAGGAGGAGTTCATGAAGGAATCCACTTTACTGACAAGACCTAGGTTAGCCACCATAAGAAGTGAATCTACTCCATTTGATGCGAAAAGGTGGACAAAAAAGCCTACAGATATTGAGGCTTTACTTTGTTCATCTAAATGGGGATTCCCATTATCGTTTTTAAGAATTTTAATAATGTTTTTCCTCCTTCTTTGAATAGTGGATTGGTGGAAGAAATGAGTATTTAAGTCCCCTAACTGAAGATAAGTCGTTCTCGATTTTTGTTTCCAGAAAATCTCATCTTGTAGATAGGCTGAGGTTAACTGGGTTTCTAGTGATCTGATCAAATCCCAATCCACTGAGGGGGCATCTCGAGCTTTGTCAATAGCATCTCTTATTTCTTTAATCTGACGGGCTGAGTTGGTGGTTCCTTTAGACATTCACTCAACAAGGTTATATCGAGCACCTTTTAATTGGGTAAAGAACTTAAATTGTCTTGTACCATTTACTTGGTCCCACCAATTTCCAAGCACTTTTTCTTTGGTTTCAGAATTTCTTGTCCAGCGACGATCAAATTAAAAGCGACTCCTACCCAATTTAATTTGAGATTCGAGATGTAAAATGATCATTCGATGATAAGATCCCGAGTCCGTTAAGTGAGTTACTTGAGCTTGAGGCCAAGTGTTGAGAACGAGGGAGGATCCAAGAACTCTATCGAGTCTGACCATAATGTGGTCCTCCGCCGATTGACGATTAGACCAAGTGTACTGAGGACCACAAAAACCCATATCCTGTAACCCAGCTTGAGAGCAGAAATCTCTTAGCTGGTCAAGAGTTGTAAAGGCAGGGCTCCTACCCCCTGTCTTTTCATATGACTGGAGGATACAGTTGAAATCCCCTAGCACGCAGATTCGATGGGAGCAAGCAATGACTAGGTCGGAAATGTCATTCAATTGGGACTCCCTGCTTCTTGTCTCACAACTAAGATGAACAAAAATAAAGGAGGTGATCCCCAACTCAGGATGTTGACATTCTATATGAAAGAAATGGCGATCCCTTCCAATAATAGAACATTGGACGTCGGGTTTCCAAGCTACCGCTAGTCCACCTGATGATCCTACGACGCTCACTAACTCAACCTCCTTAAAACCAATTTATTGAATTGTCTTTTTAACTTCATCATCTTTATTTTTGGTTTCACTTAGAAACAATAAATATGGAGCAAATCGGTTCACAATCTCTTTCAATGATCTCGTTGCAGTGATGGGGCCGATACCGCGACAATTCCAACAAAGTATTCCCATCCGTTAATTGGAGGTGAAAGAAATATTTAAGTAAAATTAAATGATCCTAATCCCTTAGCTCAATAAACAACCAAACAGCTCTTTGTCGGAATGATTCAAGCGTTTCACAACCCTCAGAGGTTTTGAATAAGAGGAGAGGTCCGAAATCGGGTGCCTAAGCAGGCCATATGAGGTCTGATAGACAGAGCTTTCAAAGCTTCTGATATAGTAAAACTTTTTTTTCCTTTCTTTTCTCTCTCGATTTCCTGCAGTTCCCTTTTCTTTTACCGATCAAACACAAGTGACAAGCTGAGAGAGAACTTTTACTACCCGACACTTTTCATACCTCAGATCAGTTTAATTTCCTGCAGAAATGGTTTCGGAGAAAGAATCGCGGATACGGCGTCTAAGCTGGAGCAGAGGACTTCCGACTTTGAGAGGAGAAGCTGGACTTGTGATGGGGAGAGCACTCCCACGTTGTTGACACGAGACAGGTTTTATCCTGGAAAGCATTTTCTGAATGAGGCAAGAATCCTCTCCCGGAGCTCTCGCCACTGCAGATCTTGCAAAAGGGGCAGGTTCGATTTTGCCGATCTCCAGGGAAAGATTGCCTCAAATTATTGGAGGGACTAAAGGAAAGCAATATCCTTTCCTCTTCTAGAGTCTGCTGATATCGCAGACAAGGAAAATTTGGAGTGTAGTGAACAAAATTTTAATAAAGGAAAGTAAAAAGAAAAAGTATATTGAAACATGTGATATATATGTTAATTTATTGTTTAAGTAACGGTAAAATAATTTGATTATGTGTTGATATTATTTTCTATTCCGTCGATAATCAGGATTCATTCAGAAGCAAAGAATGTGATTACTAGTCGAGCTAATATATGTTCTGTTTTGGCAACTTTTCAATTGTATATATTTGTTTGTTATTTAGATACTTCTTCAATAGTTTGCCAATTTTGATGATTAGTTGTAACTGTAAGTAAAGTATGGATATCTTGCTGAGCTGCTAAGTGTCAAGGAAGCTAGCGATTTTCAAGATTCTACCCCATGTCATCGTTGAAGGTGATTCTGAAATAGTAATCTGTCAACTGGTTCGTCAATCAGTAGAAGATTCATTAGGCGGTCATGTGCTTCAAGAGTGTCTTCAGTTAATTGTTTTGTTTTCTTCATGTACAATTTTTAGGGCGGTTCCGCGAACTGAGCCCATAAAGTGGCACTCTCTTGTTTAGAGTTATAAGGTGGCTTCACTAAATATTTGCTTTGGGGTTTTTTGAGAAAAGGTTTCAAACTATTTTATTCCTATCATTTCTCCTATAAAAAACTATGGATATTTTGTGAGGACCCTTAGAGCTGCTGCTTAATGTAATTTTTATGGACCCATTATGTTTTGCCACCCCTGACAAGGGGGGAAAAACAAAGGTAAGTCGCCATTTTGGGGAAGCAATTCAGCTAGAGTTTTTTCCAGAAATACCACCTTTAAAAAAAAAATTACAAAACTAGCACCCTTCCAAAAATATTTACAAAACTAGCACCATTTTTTATGGACCGCACCCTAGAGGTGCGTTTTACATATAAACCGCATCCTCCAGGTGCGTTTTATATATAAACCGCACCTGTAGGGTGCGGTCCATATTCCTGGGCCGAAATCGCATCTTGGCCATGCGGTTTCGACTCTGCCCCTACACAAACCGCACGGCCGAGGTGCAGTTTTGGCATGACCTAGCCAAACCGCATCCTAGAGATGCGGTTTGTTCCTCCAAAACCAAACCGCATCTCTAAGGTGCGGTTTAGCTACACAGACCGCACCCCCAAGTGCGGTCTATGTGTCAATAATATTCCGACACCCGACAAACCCATGCAGAGAATTATGGACGTAGGGCTGCATGGCAGACTAAAACCGCACCTTAGAGGTGCGGTTTTCCTCATTTTTTTCCCTATATAAGACTGCCGGAAAACCTCTACTCTTCACACCTCTCCTTCTCTCTTTCCATTTTTCTGTTGTATTCCTATATTTATTTAGTGTTTTTGCCATTAACATTAACTCGTAAGTTTATTTTGTGTTACTTTTTATTGTTATTTGTGATTTGTGATTTTTATGAGTTTAACTGAACTACGGTTTTTTTGTGTGCAGATGGCATTCCGTCAGTTCACGCTTGGCTTACGTTGGAATGGTTACACAGAAGAGACCGGAAAGGGGGCCACCTACGTCGGTGGCAATTTTCAGAAAATAACGGTCAGTACCAGACCGAAGCTTGAAGACCTCCATCAAATATGGACTAACGTTACTTGCATGGATGGCACGAGAAGAGTAGATCGAATGGTGTACCGATATCCAAACAGAGAAAGTGGGTCATTGTGGCATGAGGAATATACCATAACCACTCAAGATGAAGTAGATTCCATGCTCGAAGTCTTGAGGTCCAACAAATTGGCCAAAGCCGAGATGTTCGTTTACACCGAGCCAGCCGTTGGTGTTGGAGGTCATTCTGGACACGGTCAAACATCTGGTATCCATGGTGGAGGTGAATTATATGGAGATCATCCCTACCAAAGTTACCATGATCCTCATTCCTATTTTCAGTACCAAGATGGAGGGCAAGGTGAAGGCCATCATCAATCTTTCCCGTCATATGAAGAAGAAGTTCAACCGGACCTCGGCAACCAACCCCAGTACAACTTCCAATCAGGCAGCGGTAGTTTTCACAACTACCATTATGGAGCTGATGAAGGTGCCTTTCATGATCTGAGCCACCTTATTAATAAGACAAGGTTGTCGCATGTGGTGTGTCCGAGCCACCTTATTAATAAGACAATAATGAAACTACAATAAGATAAAACACAAGGGAAAATATGTTATGACTACATGATGGGGTATGAGAAGTTTACCTTGCCCCATAAGCTTCACCTCTTAGGGGATGATCGATTGGCCAATCCCTATCTGGACGTTGGACCGGTGCAATCCATGGCATATGCTCCCAAGCCCAAAATTGGACGATGAACATTGCGCCGCCGACCTCCCTCACAGCTTTTAGAGACGCATTGCACAAGTTGTGGTAGATCATAGCTAGGCAAGCGGATGCCCAACTATACTCCCCCATCTCCTCCCAACTACTGAAGATGATCCTAAGTCATCCACAACTAAGGAGATTGCTTGATTTCTTGGAGAAGAACACTCCTCCGATCATGCCTATGAGATAGACACGAGCATATCTCTCCTTCTCATCCTCCGGACTTTCCTCGGTTAGGGGATGACTCTCGTAATGGTCTCTAAAATACTTCGTCAACCATGTAATTGAGACTTGGTGTTTCCTCATTGGTGGCATGCGATCGGTCGCATCAACGCAACCCTTCACCGGTACTTTCACTCCTAAATGACTGTGGATGAAATGAACCCAACCGGGCATACCGTCACGATCCTCGGGGGGATGATCACTCACGCACACCGGTTTGCCGTCGATGGGCAGATGGGTTAGGATGGCGACATCCTTTAGCGTGATGGTGGCCTCTCCTTCTCTAAAGTTGAAACAATGGGTCTCCTTCCTCCATCTCTCGGCTAATGCGGTGATGAGTTGGCGATCAATTTGGATGCCGTTAAAATGCCTAATCGAGTCTAACCGTGCCCTTTTGAGAAAGGTCAAGATAGCTGGGTGGAATGGGAGCACATTGGTGGTACCCCTGTAGCGGATTATTGTTTGTGTCTCCTAGCAAAAATTTACACGTTAATTATTATATATTAGTAGGGATTTTTTTTCTTATAACTAAATTAATTAAATTAAATTATGCGACATCAAGCAGAATTTTATTATCATAAAAAGACATTTCATATTATCATATTATCATAAAACAAACGTCCTAAATTAATTAACATAATAACATTGTCAATGAATAATAATTTAAAGAGGTACATACATATTATCGTAAAACAAACATACTAAATTAATTAACATAAATAACATTGTTAATGAATAATAATTTAAATAGAAACATACATATTCAAATGTTTGAAATTAATAAAAAAAATTTTGGGCACATAAAAATAAATCGTATTGGTTGTTTGGTAAATAATTTAATCGTATTGGTTGTTTCAAATCATTTAATCGAATACAAAGCAACACTCGTTAGACTCTTAGAAGAGGTATACATCTTCTTAGAAACGCAGTCTTTTTGACAGAAAAAGGGGGGATCCGAGGATCTCTTAATACCCGATTTTCCCAGGTAATGGGAGGATATGATAATCGCTTAAAACCCCATTTCCTTAGACGTGCATCTCTTTATAAAGAGTCGAAGTAAGTGGTGCTATGTATTCGATTAAATTATTGAAAACCACCAACACGATTAAAAAATCAACATAAATTTATTTTATATTACACTAGGCACATTAACAAAATAAAAGAAGGACAAATGGTGAAGAATTGTATGTACCGGGTGAGCGTTCCAAACATCCCTTGACCGATGGTTGGGTTGGTCGTACAAGTCGGTTGGATCCAACGGTCCTTGCTCGAGATAATACCGTTGGTTGTATATATCGACGTCCTCCCCAACCTACGAGAAAATAACAACGAGGTTAGTACATAGATTAATTAAAAAACTTATAACAACAACAAAAATTAAACCAGAATAATGAGTACATACCGCTTGAAATTCATCAACATAAACTCCTTCTCCTTGCCACCAATCGGCCATTTTTTCGGCGTAATTCGGACAGAGCTTCGGCTCGGTTCGGGGGGTTTTGAGGAAAAAACCTAAGAAATGTTTTCTGATGGCAGATCGGACTTAGCCGCAACCAACAGACCACTATTTCCTAGGCTTTTGGGAGGGGAGGGTTTAGAGAGATAAATTGTAGAGAGAGAAGGAAGAATGGGTTGTGGTGTGAAGAAATGAGAGGGGAAGGGGGGTATTTATACCCATCAGACCGCACCCCCCAGGGGCGGTCCGGTAATTTTGCCCTAAGGGAAACCGCACCCTCCCGATGCGTTTTGCGCTTCCCTAGGGTTGACCGCATCTCGGGCGTGCGTTCTGCCTTCCTTGGCGCGGATCGCTCAGCTGGCAAGCGTTCCACCGTCCGATCGCATCTCCATCCGACGGTCTTTAAGACCGTTCCGTAGCAGCACTGAATCGTACCCCCCCAAGTGCGTTTTCTTAATTGGAACGCACCACTATAATGCGTTTTATAAGTAAAACGCACCCTTCAGGTGCGGTTTACTTATAAAACGCATCTTAGGGGTGCGTTACATAAAAATAGGTGTTATTTCTGTCACTTTTTTCATATGTGTGCTAGTTTTGTAAATTTTTTTTTAAAGGTGCTATTATTGGAAAAAAAAACTCAATTCAGCTATGGCGTGCGTCGGCCTCATTTTGCGACTCTTGCACCTTGCAAAGAAGGTATGACAATCAAGAATTTGAAGTTATACCTGCTCGTTGCATTTTCCTTCTTTTTGGCTCGTTGTTTGGTGGAATACATTTGCTAAATGCCTAAACCTCCTCGCTTCATTTGTTTGTGCTCGCTTTTTCCCTCTCGATGTTTGGTCGCCATATTAGGGTTATTACATTTTGATAGCTTGCCGCTGTTGCTACTCCTCCAGCTAGCCTTCACGGCCAATAGCCCCAGCTGCTTGACTGCTCCGGCTTAGATCTTCGACCAGTTCGACGCATTCCTCTGACCAGAGTTTCTATCGTATTGACACATCTGTGAAAGAAAGACTCCACCTTGATATTTCATCAAACATCAGGTGTGCGCTACAGTATGCTACGTTTCATATGCCCTGGGTACGCTTCTGTACACATTTAGGAATAACATGAGAGGATCAAAATTGAGCAATAAAGTGCCAATATTTGTTTCTCAAGATAAAGCATTGTAACTTTCTTCTCTAGAGATGGTAGATTTGGGGGTTCCTCAAAGGATTCAAAAGGTTGTACATGTGCTTTCGCATGTCAGAGTACCTATATAAGGAGAAAAGAAAGATGAAGAAAGAAGAGGACGAAGACAGCAGAAAGGGCAGCAGTCAGAAAAGAAGCACAACTTCCTCAAAAACCTAATCTGGAACTTGATCATAGTCGCCATTTTCAGGCGACCGGTGCCCTCCAAGACCTCCTGTTCTTCCTGAAACCAAACCCCCAAAAAATAGACATTTTACATCTCAGTCCCAACCTCTCTATATCTATCTCACTCAAAACTATTAAGAATTCAACATAAGGGAAGAGTCATCATCAGCACCTGTCAAGTCATAACCAGTGCCGCCAGCCCTAGGATCCGGGCCACTCCTCCAATCCAATGCCATGTGGTGCATACTCGGCGCCCTGTTGTGAATCATGAAAGGTGCGCCTCCTCCCATGTTTTGATGGTTGTCGTCATTCTCACGGACTGGATTCCTCCCAGTAGATTCAACTGGGGAAGGGAAGCTCATACCAGATAAGGATGGTCCCCCACCAACCGGGGATGGCAACTTAACAACAGTAGAAGCAGCATCTATTGGTCTCATACTACTAGTACCACCACCATCTTTCTTGTTATCAAGGGTGAATGTTCCTACAATAACCTGCGGAGAAAGAAACTCAACTGTGGTTTCCAAAAACAATTCTTCCGAACACAATAGCAAAGAACCAGTCAGCCAGACAGACCAGTTAGTTAGTTGCAAATATAGTGGTTCATATACCTGAACATTGCCTGCGGCAATTAGAGGTCCACAAAGTCCTCCCCCAATAATATGGCCATCGGTTCTAGACAGACATACACTAAGCCCACCAGTTCTACCTCCAGTTTCAGACCTTATGTAAGATCCACCCAGTGAGATGATCTCGAACCGACCCTGCAGGAGAGCATCAAGATATTATCAGGTACATCATCAACTTCTTATGACTCGGCATCAGCAGCTACATCCAGTTTGTGTCAACATCCACCCATCTAAACAAGGCCTAAGTCAATCTTGTAAGAATTATTGTGTATTCTAAAGTTAACATGGAACTGACCACCAAAGAAAAGAAGGGTATCCGAGAAGTCAAGTAAATAAAGTTTGACCCCAATTTTGGGCGGTACTGCATCACCGTCTTTTTGATTTTTTCATTCTCCAGACATTCTATGATAGAAAAATTGACGAACAAAAGGAACTATGATTCCAGGACCACTTCTTTTCTTTTTTCCTGACACTATCAAATGTGGTTATGTGAATGATAGTTAAGGACCAGGGATTTTGGATGCCAGACAAGATAAATTCACAATTCCACCAGAGTAAATGTTATAACCTGAATCTATACTGGGCAGTGAAATTGGTATCTAATGACATGTTTAACAACCCAAAAGGTAAGAACTATTTCATGAAATGGAATGTTTTGAACAAGCGTTGTTCTGCTAAAAGTCAAAGTGCCATGTGCTATACTAACCAGTGAACCGACAGTGATTGTGGGAGACAATTGAAGCCCAATCGCTACTAAAGACTATTACTTTTCTCCTGTATTACTATTTTATAGTAAGCAAAAGCTTTTAAGGAAATGGCTTTATTTCAAAATCCAACTAGCAATCAACATAACCAGCAGATATCAGAGAGATAGTTTTATTTGACATGGCCTCATTCTAACTCTCATATTGACGCACTGACGCACATTAAGCTCACATACAGATGGACATGGATTAGTGAAGTTCTGGCAAGAACTAAAAGGACCACAAGGAGCTACCTGATAAGTGATGTTGCCTCCTTGTGTCGCTGGCTGGCGAATCGATGCACTAGCGATTACACCAGATGCAGACAAAATGCACGTCTCACTCTTACTTTGTTGCATGAACATGTTAATTTTGAGGGCAACATCCTGTAGAATAGATAGATAGGATGAACATACTTTTCTAAGACCGAATAAATATTAGATTTCATCACTGGCTGGCCAAAAGTACACCACACAGAACATTGCCATATACTACTCTTTGATTATTATACATGTATGAATCAAGTCCACTGTCCTGGAAAATAAGCTTCGTCTGACATGCAACGTGCATGGTAGTAATTATTCTTATGAGAAAATCACCTAATTAAGGAAAGAAAGTTGATGATGGCTGTATTAACAGAAATATGAGTCAGCCCAATTTCAAATCCATATTATATACTACGTAAGAAATGGATTTAAAAGGTGGAAGATGTTGGGGACATGTACAGGCCAAGAAAAACATTATCACTAGAGTGCTTGCATACCTCGCCAGCAGCTACAGAAATTATATGTGGAGTAAAACCGACTCCCGTGTTACCTGCGTGAATCCAAAAGTAGGACATCAGCAGCAGCTCCTTATAAGAGACCTCAACAAATATTCCATGGCACATAGGTTATCCAGTCAGGAGATGCAGAAATAGTAGCCATTCAAGGATCCAGACCCCAGATTCTACCTAAATTCAAAATTACAAAGGAAGCTATTCAGACTACGTCAAGATACATCATCCCGCGAGGTCTAGAGGATAGCCCTACCCTCCCAATTATGATATATACGACTCCAATCACAAGGCCCCGCAAAGACTGCTGCAACCATCAACTAGCAAGTCAAGTCTCCTAATTATGTTCTTTCTTTACGTGACACAAATGATACAAATCAAGTTCTACATTTACATGTTGTAAAGATACTCAACTATTAACTTCGCCAGGTTTTCTTCGCCATAGAATGCAGAAATTCAGTTTTTGAGTGTTAGGAACCCAAGTGTAAGGGACGTAGTGCAGAAAGATCGAATATGATATACTAGATGGCCAAGTCAACGCACTCGCAAAGTAATGTAGTGTCGGCTACAGGGTAAAAAGAAGAATGTGTGACAGAACACTAGCTATTTTGAGGCTAAATTTCACTTAAGGGGTAAAAAAAGATCGAACTTTCTAAATAACCGCTCCAATCCAGCACAAACGATTCTCCTAATTTGGGGATTTTATTTGCTTGTAAAAATTGTAGTCACGCAAAGAAGGTCATTACGATTTTCACCAAAAAAAAGGTCAGTGCGAATCATTCAAGACATTAACTTCAGTCATTCAAGGTTAGATGAGCCAAAGACTATCCGACCTCCCGCCGTATCAAACACTTTAGTGATACTTGCTTAGCTTAGAGAGCTTTTTTTTTTTTTTTTACAGTTTTGCAGGGTAAGGAACTCGAGAAAAAATCCGAGCAAAGGCTTAAAAAGGGTGAACAGTCCTAAACATAACAGAAAAATATTAGCTTATGAATTCTCCAAAAATGCAAACAAAAAATAAGAAAATATGAGCTGACACAGACAATATACACAGTAGCGAGAGCCAAACATTAGCACTTCTCGACAAGAGACCTCAGAGCTTCATTGTAATCAAAGAAAAGGAATCTATAAATCAAAGCAGGAAAACAAGAAGAAAGAAAAAAATAGAAAACCCTGGGCACATACTCAAAGCTATCTTTCTGTATGTCACTAATGGTTGCATTCAATAAAAAAAATAACGATGATACATCACGTCAAAAATCATCCGTTGATACCCTACACATTCTTGAAGAGGAAAGTATGAAAGGACGCTCAATCTATTTTTAGGCTATTTTAGACTATGGGGTCAACAAGGAGTCAAACTTTCCGAAAAATCACTTCCATTCACCCAAATAATCGATTCAACTAATTTGTTAATTTCAAAGGCTTTCAAAATGTGTAGTCTCGCAAACAAGGTCAACGCGAATCATCATAGACATTAAGCCAGTCATGTATAAGGTTGAATGACCCGAAGACTATCCGACCTTCTGACACACCACATCAAACAGTCTAGTGATACTTGCTCAGCAGTAAAGAGTTCTTTTTTTTTTTTTTTTTGCAGATTTTCAAATTAACAAACAATTCAAGCAACAAAGGTCATTCAAATCAATCGGTAGAATCTGGTTATGTGGAAATATTTGGCTTTATGGTAATCAACAATAAAGGTACAAAAATACTCAGCTGACAGAATTTGAGCATGTAAAGCCTTCCAAAGTGATAAAAAAAAATCGAAAGCAAATAAGAACTTCGAGAGAAAACATAACGCCGCAGATAATATACATCATTGTATCCAAAGCCAAACATCAGCACTACTCTACCAGAAACCTCGAAGCTTCATTGTATTCAAAGGGAAGGATTCTAAGAAACGATGCTGGAAAACAACACAACGGTCTCCCTGAAACTAGAAAAAAGCAACCCAATTGGAAGATCACCACGAATGCACAGAGATGCAAATAAAGAACCATGCTTAATTCCAGTACGAAGGGAAAAAGGCTTTCAAGAACATAGAGAGAGAGAGAGACAAAACCGTTACATATGCCAACAGAAACCAGTTTGCAAACCGATCCTGACGATTTCTTTGCTACATATTTTTCATTTACAGAGAACAATGCTCAAAACCAGGAATCCAGGATCCAAGAAACGGAAAGCCACAAAGGAAAAATGAATAGTCTGCCAAATTAGCACCCCATCAACCTGGATAGGCAATCCCAGAACAGACGTACAACAAAAGAGAACAAAGAAAACTCCCCGAACAAACAAAAAACGAAACACCGACCAAAATCAATCGAATCAGAGCAAAACTTGCGCAAGTTGAACAAACGAACAGAGATTCAGATTATACTCAGAGAGAAAGCCGAATGAATCCAATGCCAAAAGGGAAAGCCAATTGAATAACCAAATTGAGAGAAAGCGAAACGGAAAAAACTGTAATTAATAATAAAATACAGATGAGGAGGAGGATAGGATAATAAAGAAATCGCAAAATTGGATGGGGGGGGAAGGAAAAAATAAACGAACCGGGAGTACCCAAGTGGTGGTGGGACTTCTTCGAGAAGCCAGGATACGAAGCAGAACCGCCGCTCTCCCTCTTCTCCCTAGCACTGGAAGCAGAGGAAGCCGCCGCCGTCCTCTTGGCCGCCAAAGCTTGCTCGGGAGTCCCGTACTTCCTCGGCCTGCCCCTCTTCCTCCTGACCGGATCGACCGGCGCCTGAGACACTGCGGCCGAGGAGGGGCCTACGGAGTGAGGGTAGACCATGTGATGAGCGGAGGCCGAGTCGGAGCCACCGCTGCTGTTCGGCGGGGGAGGCAGGAGACCATTGGTCGGAGAATGAGTAATTGCACCGGCGGATGAGGAAGCAGGCCCGCCGCCGGCGTTGGGATTGTTGCCGGTGGGTTGTGCTGAGGTGGAGTAGTAAGATGGAGTGAGAGAGTGGTGGTGGTGGTGGTGGTGATGGTGGTGGTGAGGGGTATCGTCTGGTTCCATCTCTCCTTTTTTTTTCTTTTTCTTTCAAATTTTTCTTTTCGAGAAAGCTAGAAAGAGAGAGAAGGAGAAAAAAAGAATTTTAATTTAATTTAATTTTCGCCGAGGAGGGAGATTTCTTTCTTTTCGATAAAGAAATTCTTTTTTAATATTTTATATTGGTGAGAGTTTCTTTTTGTTTTATGGTTTTTCCCGAAAAAGGACGTGAACGGTTCTTAGCCGTTGGATCGAACCCGCGTTGGGATTTCTGTCGTCCAGATTGCATTTTTCGGCAGGAAAATAAACGAATTAAATAGCATTTAACATTAAATCCTGTGAGCTGTTTTTTTCAATTAATAATCTGTTTAATTTAAAAACAGAAAATGTTGGTAATTTGATTTTTTATGGGAATGAAAATATGGAATTAGTAGTAATAGTAATTCAGGACACGTTAATTGTAATTAATATATTTATATGATTATTATTATTAGAACTAAGGGCGGGAGAGTGATGGCAGCAGGAGCGGATTCTGGGGAGAAGAAGTGCCCCTTGATTTCTGCCTAAAACTTGGACTTGGAAATTCGATTGAAAATTAAATATTTATTTTTACTATTTTTAGTTGGGTGTTGATTTTCTTATTGTTAATCTCCGATTAAAGCGCATCATTGAGTAAAACGTGTTTAAATTGTAAAGCACCCTTTCTTTTCTCGCAGGTCGCAGCAAATCTGAATTATGAATTATCTCCCCCATTAATGAAAAAAAAATAAGAACTGTAATTTCTTATAGGATTTACTGAAATTAAGAATCGTAATTCCAGTAAAGAAGAAAGAATTGAGTTTCCATTGTAATTAAACTCTTTCCTAAATCCAGGCCGAAAGAACCCTTCTTCCCGAAATTTGTTTCCTTCCCTTTTACGAAGTTTCCATGGAGAAAAATGAAAGAAAGTAAATGAAATCATTTTCTGCCAAAAATGACAGTAACTGAAATTAAAATTTTATTTTGTTGGCAGTAATTGAAATTTTAGTCGAGATGAAACAAAAAAAATTTCCAAAACACCACTTGCATTATCGAGAAAACAGTCAAATACAAAGTGTTATACAACTGAAAACAGTCAAGAAAAAAAATCAAACACTACTGAAGAACTGAATATCGAAATGGCTTTTTTTGCTACCAAATGGGCAATCCTCTTACATCCCCGACCAATAAAATGAATGTTAATCACCTAGAACAAATATCTTCCAAGACCGTGCCACCCAGAACATCGTCGACCTGGCCCTCTAGGATCTTTCTAATTATAACTTGGGCATCGCCAGCAAAGACGACTGAATGTAATCTCGTGCCAGACACCATCGTACCGCATCACGGAAGGCCAACAACTCCACTAGAGACGGGTCTGAAATCCCAACATATAACGATGCTGATGCCACCACCACCATGTCTGTCGAATCCTGCAAACCCCATTCTCCAGCTCCATGGAATCAACTCAGTGTGGTCTCATCACAAACATAACTAGCTCCCCATGTGGCACAGCCTCCCTGTTCGTGGGACTGGGCCCCCTAGAGAAGGAAGAGGATGTCGCTGGTTGTCAACAACGACATCCCACTCCGCAACCTGCGAAAGAAACTGATAGAGCAAAGCAGGAACAATGAACTGCATCAAATAAAAAAAAAGACTCAATTCCGAGCACGCCAAACACGCCACAATCCTCGTCAACACGGTCTGATACAGGTCTCGCTACTCAAGCAACCTGCACCAGTTGGTAAGACACCACAACCTAGTTGCCATATGTAGGGGGTGAACAAACACACCCGCAAACCGACCCACCCGTCCAACCCGACCCAACCCACCCGTATTTATCGCTAAAACGAAGGTTTTGGGTTGGGTGAGGGTTTTCTTTTGTACAACCCGCCTCTTTTGGGTTGGGTTTGGATTACACAACCCGTAGAACCCGACCCAACCCGTGTTCCAAGTATTGGTATGAGTTTGTATCGAAAAAAATATTTATGTCGTATATAGTCATACTTATGAAAAATTTAAAATATTTTGCCATGTTTTTCTCTTAAGGTCTCCCTAATCTAATACATTCTTCGGCTTAAAGTTTAGACATAAATTTAATATAGCTATGATTCACGAATTTTTTTTTCTTGTGTACAATTTTAATAGAATAACATATTTTGGATGCGTTCATTTGTAACCTTTTTAGCCTATTTCAACAAATGTCATGAAAAAAAACTAGAAATAAGTTGAAGTAAATCAAATTTTATTAAAATTCAAACAACATTTGTGAATTTTGATACCTTTCACCTTGGTTTATTCGTTTGAATTTTTAATTAGTTATAAAATATTTTTATGATGTAGAATAATTACATATTTTGTGTTGGGTTGGGTTTTTACTTAAAAATATCGCCAACCCGAACCAACCCAATTAGAAACAAACCGTAAGGTTTAGATTTTTTTGGGTGGGTTTGGGTTTAATATTTCCCAAACCGTAGTGCATGGGTCGGGTGATTAAAATGTCTAAATCCGGACCACTCGACCCATGTACACCCCTAGCCATATGAAGTACCGCAGATTGGAAGGTATTGGAGTGTGGTGCATTATAGCACCGTCGGGCGCCCACATGGGATTATTATTAGTTTTATTATTTGTCTTTCATATTAATTATCATTCAGGATATTTGGTTATTGGGAGGTATTGGAGTGTGGTGCATTATAGCACCGTCAGGCGCTGTCACGACCCGAAATGTCGTGACCGTGTTGATCGTCTGAAGAACGCTGCCATCTAGTTGTCTTGCCATGAGAAGGGTTAAGGGGGCGACATTAGCGATAAGGCGTTGTCTGCCTGTGCATCGCATCTGGCCGAGCCAGGATGTGGCTATGAAGGGGATCGTTGCAAGAGAATGCACAACTGGTCGGAGGCTATTGTCGTCTCCCTAATGAGCCCAAGGCAGGGCAAAACCAGTTGGCATGCATATGCAGAGAGGCTGGTCTTGAGGAATGAGTGCACCTCAAGACGCCGCATGGACTTCGGAAGTCTATGTCCGTGACAAGTGGTATCAGAGCCTGGTTAGGCTGAAGAGCCTAGTTCCTCTCTCAGTACGGCGTAGTGTATGGGCCGACCCTATGCCCGAATGAGAGGCGGTCCTAGGTATGCATATCAGGCGGTCCGGACGTAGATACACATGTGTTGCGCCGTTGTGGGGGACCTCGACAGGCTGAAGATGCAGCGGCCGAGAATGTCGTTCAACCGAGGAACTAACGCTAGCGAGAGTGTAGGGTGAAGGTCGATTGACGTAGCGTAAGGTGAAGGTCGACTGAGGTACTAGCGCAGCAGAAGCAAGGAGTGAAGGTTGATGTCGAGGGGCGAAGCGGTATGTGCGCGGGGTACAGCAGGCTAGCGCGAGAGACGCGACCGGAGCCTGTCCATCAGAGGATGGTATCGTATGCGGATGCCCACAATAGGTTCGAGAGTTGCAATACATGCTTCGGAGAGAAGCATTCTTCACCAGCACGAGGACGTGCTGCATTATGAGTGGTGGAGAATGTCACGACCCGAAATGTCGTGACCGTGTTGATCGTCTGAAGAACGCTGCCATCTGGTTGTCTTGCCATGAGAAGGGTAAGGGGGCGACATTAACGATAAGGCGTTGTCTACCTGTGCATCGCATCTGGCCGAGTCAGGATGTGGCTATGAAGGGGATCGTTGCAAGAGAAGGCACAACTGGTCGGAGGCTATTGCCGTCTCCCTGATGAGCCCAAGGCAGGGCGAAACCAGTTGGCATGCGTATGCAGAGAGGCTGGTCTTGAGGAATGAGTGCACCTCAAGACGCTGCACGGACTTTGGAAGTCTATGTCCGTGACAGCGCCCACATGGGATTATTATTAGTATTATTATTTGTCTTTCATATTAATTATCATTCAGGATATTTGGTTATTCGTATTAGTTTGGGTCTAGAATTATTATTTATTATGTCTTGTTTAGTAAGTATTAGTAGTACATTAGTTCTTCTTTATCGCATTTCTTAATTCGTTAGCAGAGAACCTCGAGTTCAACAACACGTGAGATCCTATCACGCGCCAATTGGTATCAGAGCCTATTTACTAGAGAATCAAGCCAGGGCACGATGACGCCCCGCAAGCCACCAACGACGCCATCATCACTAGAAGTCGGCGGTGACGATGAGCTAGGGCAACAAATCCAAGCCCTCGTCGGCCACCAACACACGATCTCGTCTAGGATTGAAGCCCAAGACGTCCTCAACCGCGAACACGAAGCTACTTTGGAGCACTTGCGCGTCGACGTAGGACAACTCCAATGCGGCCATAAGAAGTTCCAGGACGAGCATGATTGTTTACAGGAGGAAATCAATGTCATGCACGTTGATCAGAATCGCCTAGCTAATGACGTTTAGCTCTATCTTGGTCATTCTTTGAGATCTACCTTTGGGAAAGAAGGCAACGGAGTCATCAAGGGTGTCGGAGCACGTCACTGCGAAAAGGGGGTCGCACCACCGATCAGATTTCGCTAGGAGAGAAGATGAAGGGAGCCGTCAGAGATTTGGAGTCTCTCTCGCCCAAGAACTGGAGCATGACGCTAATGCTGAAGAAGAAGAAGAAGTCGTAAAGCACCTCGACTTGCAAGATGAGTCGAGAGGAGGATGCGCGATGGGAGGCAATGCGCGCGGAAGGAGCTGGTCCTGGAATCCCCGTCGGACAGGGCTGGGGAAACCTCGCCATTCCCGGTGAGGAGGAACGGATCGTCGTACAGGGTGGAACGCGGGTCTGATCGGCGGGCTCATCGGGACTATGCTTTACGGAGTTGGGGCGGGAGCGAATGAGGAAGGCTGAGCTGAAGATGGTCCAATTGGCCCGAAAATGGGAGCTGGCAGACCAGGCATCACAGAGTCGTGGGTCGGAGGAGCAGGTGGGTTCAGCGGGCCAACGGGCTCAAGCGAGAACGAGCCGAGCTTCCATTTTGGCAGGACGAGTCTCAACTACACCCACACAGATTTTGACTTGGGGTGCAATTCAGGGTGACTTCCCATAAGGTCACTCATCCTTGTTGTACTCCACACTGAGCACGTTTAACTTCAGACTTCTCACAAGA